GTTACCCCCCTCCCCCCGCTCCTCCCTCTGGATACTTTCCCTCCCAGGACATAATCCACCTAGTGTATTTCCCCGACCACCCCTTGAACAACTACACTCACAGACCAATATTAAAGTGTTAAATATAGAGCCATTTCTGCAACCATCTATACTTAGTTATAAACGAGTTCTTTCACGGAGGATAATATAATGAATCTTTATGGCATATAGATTTAGGTTAGGTTAGGTTAGGTTATGGTGGTTTTCCCATCAAAGTATTTATCAATGGGAGATGTATTTGGTGTAGGACCTGTAATGGGAAGTTGAAATGTCCAGCCCTGCACTCGAGTCAAACAATACCACCCGAGCTTTCACCAGAACAGTAGCTATGATAACACACCTAACCTAACCTAACCTAACCTACCTAACCTATCCTATTTGTAATCTGAGAAATAATATCACGGCGAGACTGTGAATGAAATTATGTGTTGAAAAAAAAAAACTAATAGGCTTGTCTTTGTACTCATTATGGTGCGTGATACAGGTAGTTACAGGTACACAAAGGTGATACAGGTAGTTACAGGTACACAAGTGATACAGGTAGTTACAGGTACACAAAAGTGATACAGGTAGTTACAAGTACACAGGGGTGATACAGGTAGTTACAGGTACACAATGGTGATACAGGTAGTTACAGGTACACATAAGGGTGATACAGGTAGTTACAGGTACACAGGGGTGATACAGGTAGTTACAGGTACACTTAAAAGTGATACAGGTATTTACAGGTACACAGAATTGATGAGTAGTTACAGGTACACTTAAAGGTGATACAGGTAGTTACAAGTACACGTAAGGGTTTGTTGTTGTTGTTGTTGTTGTTGTTGTTGTTGTTGTTGTTATTGTTATTGTTATTGTTATTGTTGTTGTATTGTTATTGTGGGATCGGGTAAACAAAGTTGATGCAGGTAGTTACAGGTAAACAAGGTTGATGCACAGGTAGTTACAGGTACACACATAAAGAGGTGATACAGGTAGTTACAGGTACATAATGGTGATACTGGTAGTTACAGGTACACATAAGGGTGATACAGGTAGTTACAGGTACACAGGGGTGATACAGGTAGTTACAGGTATACAAGGTTGATACAAGTAGTTACAGGTACACATAAGGGTGATACAGGTAGTTACAGGAACACATAAAGGTGATACATGTAGTTACAGGTAAACAAGGTTGATACAGGTAGTTACAGGTACACAGAAGTAATACAGGTAGTTACAGGTACACAAAAGTGATACAGGTAGTTACAAGTACACAGGGGTGATACAGGTAGTTACAGGTACACAAAGGTGATACAGGTAGTTACAGGTACACAGAAGTGATACAGGTAGTTACAGGTACACTTAAAGGTGATACAGGTAGTTACAGGTACACGTAAGGGTGATACAGGTAGCTACAGGTAAACAAGGTTGATACAGGTAGTTACAGGTACACAGGGGTGATACAGGTAGTTACAGGTACACAAAGGTGATACAGGTAGTTACTTTGTACGCATAAAGAGATTAATTTACAGGTAATTACAGGTACACATAAAGGAGTGATGGTAGTTACAGGTACACATATGGGTGATACAGGTAGTTACAGATAAACAAGGTTGATACCACAGGTAGTTACAGGTACACGTAAGGGTGATACAGGTAGTTACAGGTAAACAAGATTGATACAGGTAGTTACAGGTAAACAAGGTTGATACAGGTAGTTACAGGTACACATAAGAGTGATACAGGTAGTTACAGGTACACAGGGGTGATACAGGTAGTTACAGGTACACATAAGAGTGATACAGGTAGTTACAGGTACACATAAGAGTGATACAGGTAGTTACGGGTAAACAAGGTTGATACAAGGTAGTTACAGGTACACAGTATTTGATACAGGTAGTTACAGGTAAACAAGGTTGATACAGGTAGTTACAGGTAAACAAGGTTGATACAGGTAGTTACAGGTAAACAAGGTTGATACAGGTAGTTACAGGTACACTTAAAGGTGATACAGGTAGTTACAGGTACACATAAGGGTGATAAAGGTAGTTACAGGTACACAGGGGTGATACAGGTAGTTACAGGTACACAATGGTGATACATGTAGTTACAGGTACACATAAGAGTGATACAGGTAGTTACAGGTACACATAAGAGTGATACAGGTAGTTACAGGTACACAGGGGTGATACAGGTAGTTACAGGTACACAGGGTTGATACAGGTAGTTACAGGTACACAGTGGTGATACAGGTAGTTACAGGTACACATAAGGGTGATACAGGTAGTTACAGGTACACATTAAAGTGATACAGGTAGTTACAGGTACACATAAGGGTGATACAGGTAGTTACAGGTACACATAAGGGTGATACAGGTAGTTACAGGTACACATAAGGGTGATACAGGTAGTTACAGGTACACACACTCTAAAAAAACAATAAATATTATGGTAAATCGTGTAGAGTTTGGCTCAACAAAAATCTGTTGATGATTTTAATGAGAGGAAAGACCTGACTGTAATGAGGAAACGGAGGAGGAGGAAATAGAAGAGAAGGAGGGTGAGGAAAAGGAGGAAAAGTAGGAGAAAGAGTAGTAGGAGATGGTGGCCATATTGCCTATATAATTACCACAGGTAGGGATTTAAAGGCATTCAGCTACCATACAGGTAGACACAGGTAACACTAGAGTGATTATAGGTGATTACAGGTAACACTAGTGTGATTACAGGTATGCACTAGGGTGATACAGGTAGTTACACGTATGCAATAGGGTGATTACAGGTAGTTACAGGTAACACTAGGGTGATTACAGGTAGTTACAGGCAAAAACTAGGGTGATTACAGGTAGTTACACCTATATAGACTAGACTATGCGTTACAGGATCACTATAAGGTCACTATAAAAGGTACTGTATTTTCATGTAAATCCTATGGTGAGGTTTAACTTACAGTGTCAGGTATAGAGGAAGCGAATATGAGTAATGTAAGGTTATAACTGGTAGGATAAGGCATACTATTATTGTCTCTTGTGTGGTGTGATGAACATAACTGAACACAACTGAGAACGAATCATTCTTCTATTAAATGACTCATCAGAATTACTCCGAAGACAAAACACACACACAGAATAACACACACACACCCACACACACACACTACACACACACACACACACACACACACACAAACACACACACACACACACACACACACACACACACACACACACACACACACACACACACACACACACACACACACACACACACACACACACACACACACACACACACACACACACACACACACACACACACACACACTACACACACACACACACACACACACACACACTACATATACACACACACACACACACACTACACACACACACTACACACACACACTACACACACACACACACACACACACACACACACACACACACACACACACACACACACACACACACACACACACACACACACACACACACACACACACACACACACACACACACACCCCTACAGAAAATACTCACGCATACAGAATAGAAAAATTATTTGAGAATATTAACTACATGTTGTTGATGTGGCAGATAGCAGTGAGTTTTATCTGTGTGTGTGTGTGTGTGTGTGTGTGTGTGTGTCACAGGGTGTCCAGAAGTCAAGGGACTCTTTTCAAACGATATAATTAATGATAGCGAAGACAGACATGAATGAATATATAAATTGTTAGGTAGTGTGACGTGTGTACTCTCTCTCTCTCGCATCTGTAAAAAAATTGCACAAGAATATGACAGCATAAGCGTGGAAATGAATAAAATCATGTCTACAGGTGTGGGGACAGGTGTAACAAAGCTCTGCTGACCTTGACCAGGGTAGGGGCAGGTGGACAGGTGTAAGAACAGGTGTACTGACCTTGATCAGGGTAGGGGCAGGTGTACAGGTGTAAGAACAGGTGTACTGACCTTGATCAGGGTAGGGCAGGTTTACAGGTGTAAGAACAGGTGTACTGACCTTGATCAGGGTAGGGCAGGTGTAAGAACAGGTGTACTGACCTTGATCAGGGTAGGGGCAGGTGGACAGGTGTAAGAACAGGTGTACTGACCTTGATCAGGGTAGGGGCAGGTGTACAGGTGTAGAACAGGTGTACTGACCCTGCAGTCAGGGTAGGGGCAGGTATAAGAACAGGTGTACTGACCTTGATCAGGGTAGGGGCAGAATAAGAACAGGTGTACTGACCTTGATCAGGGTAGGGGCAGGTGTAGAACAGGTGTACTAACCTTGATCAGGGTAGGGGCAGGTGTACAGGTGTAAAACAGGTACTGACCTTGATCAGGGTAGGGGCAGGTGTACAGGTGTAGAACAGGTGTACTAACCTTGATCAGGGTAGGGCAGGTGTACAGGTGTAAGAACAGGTGTACTGACCTTGATCAGGGTAGGCAGGTGTAGAACAGGTGTACTGACCTTGATCAGGGTAGGGGCAGGTGGACAGGTGTAGAACAGGTGTACTGACCTTGATCAGGGTAGGGCAGGTGTACAGGTGTAGAACAGGTGTACTGACCTTGATCAGGGAGTAGGGGCAGGTGTAAGAACAGGTGTACTGACCTTGATCAGGGTGGGCAGGTATAAGAACAGGTGTACTGACCTTGTGATCAGGGTAGGGGCAGGTGTAGAACAGGTGTACTGACCTTGATCAGGGTAGAGGGCAGGTGTAAGAACAGGTGTACTGACCTTGATCAGGGGTAGGGGCAGGTGTAAGAACAGGTGTACTGACCCTGTGAGGGTAGGGGCAGGTGTAGAACAGGTGTACTGACCTTGATGAGGTGGGGCAGGTGTAGAACAGGTGTACTGACCTTGATGAGGGTAGGGCAGGTGTAGAACAGGTGTACTGACCTTGATGAGGGTAGGGGCAGGTGTAGAACAGGTGTACTGACCTTGATGAGGGTGGGCAGGTGTAGAACAGGTGTACTGACCTTGATCAGGGTAGGGGCAATGCTGGAGCACGGAGAGACGACGGTCTTCATACACTTGTCATGGACCACGAAGTTACACACTGTGGAGGAGATGATGAGTGTTAGTGCTGACGAACTCTACTGAGCCTCTCTTATTGTGCCTCTTAACTAAATCAGCTTTATGGCGAAAGAATGAATTAGGGATCCCTGGAAATCACCTGTCTTTAGGAGCTATATCAGGGCTACAACGAAGCCAGTGCACTGTTGTTGGGGACCCGTGTGTGTGTGTGTGTGTGTGTGTGTGTGTGTGTGTGTGTGTGTGTGTGTGTGTGTGTGTGTGTGTGTGTGTGTGTGTGTGTGTGTAAAAAAAGTTGTTTATAATTTGTCTACAGGCCTAAAAAATTCATGTTATGTCAACTCTTAACTTGAACATAATATAAAATATATTCCGATGTATTAGGGAGACATGTGTCAATACATCTTTCTAACTCATCTGAATTATTTCACGTTTTAAAATCGTCATGACACTATTTTTTTTAAACACACTATGGATGACTTCTTGACACACATACACTGACAGGTTCCAAAAATAGTATATCGTATCAATCTTGAACCCTAGATATGATCTCTAAGATAAAAATGATTTTAAAAATATCAAGAGAAGCACACACGCAATGCCTTGACTCCTACTTCATAAAATGTCAAAGGGTTTCCACAGACAAGCGTCCTTTAATCCGGTATGAATAAATGTAAATTCAGTGAAGATTTATCACACGTTTCCGTCAACAATTCTCAGTATTAGGCAGCTTTCAGTGTTACCAGAAGGTGAAGAATACCAGTAACGTGGACGCAGCTTTTATGTCTCCTCATAATATACTGTAAGTTTGGCTTTTGTCCAGTTCTTTCTATTGTCCTAACATAATTAATACACTCAAGATTATGCACACAAACTATCCTCCTCATATAGTTCACTTACCAATGGAAATTTTGAAGAAGAAAAAAGACGTAGAGGTTAATACAACAGTTTTAGTACAAGTGACAAGTTTCATGAAGTGTACAGACAAAGGTTTCGAATAAATAGACGAACGTAGAAGTGGGTCGCTTTGCTCTGTTGATGATATTTTGTTTTATTGAATTTTAACGATTCGCGGCTAGTGTTATTATACCTTAAACTCTCACACACATATATCAACAACACAAAAAAATTCGACTTCCAAATATTCTACAGACATGTTAAACACACACAAAAAGGAATATAAGTGTTGGTGTTTGAAAGCCATTAATCTGGACCATTATAACGTTAACCTTGATGTGAGGAGATTTTCATAGTCTAAAACTGCACAATACTTAAAAAATCTGAGTTCACTGTGAAAGACATCTGTAGTTAGTAATGCTAATATTACTGAAACATTTTATTAAGTTCAAAATTATATATTTAATACTGAAGGCTCTGAAGCACTATTAATAAGTTCAGTACTATATTATATTTATCTGATATGAGTGAAGGATCGTTGATGTTATTATTAGAATCAGTAGGTTTGTTACATGTGAGGAAGAAACTTGTGTGATGATCTTTATTATTATGACACACACACACACCACCAGTAGATGCCAATTCCCCCCAGGTATTTATTTAGCTGTCATTGTCAATATGTGGCAACACACCTGGCTATTTAAGGCATAATACAACAGGGGGAAGAATGTCTGTATTTTTACCCTGCCAGCCATTGTTAGAGTCCACAGTCAGCCATACTGTGTCGAGTTTCATTATATAACTCACTCATTTTTGGGGGTATCTATTTAATTAACCAATTATATTTAAAGTGCTCATCAATAAGTTAAATATGTTCCTATACTATAAAAATGGTGTGTGTGTGTGTGTGTGTGTGTGTGTGTGTGTGTGTGTGTGTGTGTGTGTGTGTGTGTGTGTGTGTGTGTGTGTGTGTGTGTGTGTGTGTGTGTGTGTGTGTGTGTGTGTGTGTGTGTGTGTGTGTGTGTGTGTGTGTGTGTGCTCCAGGTATACTTGTGGCAATCTATAATTATAATCCGTACAGCAAGTACACTACAACAACTACAGTACACCAGCAACACTATAAGACACAGGTGTGGTAGTGTCTTACCATAACGGGAGATTATCCTCACAATTTTACCGTAAGTTTGAACACAACATTTCTACCTCTATCATCTCTAAAGATTACCCCCCTCACACACACACAGATGATGTATTTCTTCTTGACCTAAGTTTCGAGAGTTCTGTGACAACACGGATAACCCACGAACGTTTCGGAACAACACAGTAAACCAAGAAAAATGTAAACACACTTCCAAGCACAGGAGACTCATGTTAGTTAAGAATTTACTTGGTTTCGTGTGTGATGATGACAACTAAACTATACGCCACGGGGCAACTGATGTAAAAACCTTGTGTGCCATCCTAGGTGTTCGGACACACCTCACCTCGTAAAAACTGGCCTGAGTGTATGTGTGTGTATATATATATATATATATATATATATATATATATATATATATATATATATATATATATATATATATATATATATATATATATATATATATATATATATATATAATAATGTGTGTGTGTGTGTGTGTACTTGTTGCCTTACCACTTTCCTATCATTATTTTCACTAATCCCTACTAATTTAACCCCTTTCTTTATGACCTAAGTAGCCCTTCCTTAACAGAGGCAGACAGACAGACAGAAAGACACCTTGATAAAAAAAGAATGAATACAAAACTCTGCCATTCTTGTGTTGTTAAGACAGAGTGGTGGAGGATAATGGCAGGTGATGACCCCGTGTTAACGACGGTAGTTAGTGCCTGGTAATGACACTAGTTCACCTTAATAACACTAAACAACGGTGTTTTGCTGGGAGGTGGAGGGTGTTGTAGAGTGTGAGTACACTCTTGGGTGTAGGGGTGTGGCGGTGGGTGTAGAGTGTGGCGGTGGGTGTAGAGTGTGGTGGTGGGTGTAGAGTGTGGTGGTGGGTGTAGAGTGTGGTGGTGGGTGTAGAGTGTGGTGGTGGGTGTAGAGTGTGGTGGTGGGTGTGAGTGTGTGGTGGTGGGTGTAGAGTGTGGTGGTGGGTGTAGAGTGTGGTGGTGGGTGTAGAGTGTGGTGGGTGTGTAGTGTGTGGTGGTGGGCGTAGTATGGTGGTGGGTGTAGAGTGTGGTGGTGGGCGTAGTGTGGTGGTGGGTGTAGAGTGTGTGGAGGGGTGGAGAGTGTGGTGGAGGAGGTGTAGAGTGTGGTGGTGGGTGTAGAGTGTGGTGGTGGGCTGTGTATGGTGGTGGGTGTAGAGTGTGGTGGTGGGCATGGTGTATGGTGGTGGGTGTAGAGTGTGGTGGAGGGTGTAGAGTGTGGTGGAGGGTGTAGAAGTGTGGTGGTGGGTGTAGGTGTGGTGGTGGGCGTAGTGTATGGTGGTGGGTGTGAGAGTGTGGTGGTGGGGTGTAGTGTGGCAGGTGGTGGGTTAGAGGGAGTGTGGTGGTGGGTGTAGAGTGTGGTGGGTGTAAAGTGTGGTGGTGGTGGGTGTAGAGTGTGGTGGTGGGTGTAGAGTGTGGTGGTGGGTGTAGAGTGTGGTGGTGGTGGGTGTGGAGTATGGTGGTGGGTGTAGAGTGTGGTGGTGGGTGTGGAGAGTGTGGTGGTGGGTGTGGAAGTGTGGTGGTGGGTGTAGAGTGTGGTGGTGGGTGGGGAGTGTGGTGGTGTGTGGTGTAGAGTGTGGCGGTGGGTGTAGTGTATGGTGGCATTGTATCTAGAGATTGTGGGATTGTGTTGGTTGTGGTGTGATAGTATGGTGATCTTGTGGTAAAGGGTATGGTGTTGTGGTAGAATGGTGTGGCGTTATGATATAGGGTGTGGTGTTGTGGCAAATCATGGTAGTGTCGTAGTAGTGTTATTGACGAGGGTGTGGTGTGAGGGTGTTGTGAAAAATGGTGTAATGCTGTGGTAGAATATGGTGGTGATGTGGTAGAGGGTGTGGCGTATGGTGGTATTGATGGTAGTGGTGATGTAGGAGATGATGGAAGGTAATAGTGAAGAGGATGGTGGCAATGGTAGTGATGATGGTAGTGGTGAAGGGTCGAAGGAGGAGATGGTGGTGGTGGTTAGTGGTAATAATGGTGCTGCCGTAGTTAGTGGTAGTGGTAATGGCGTGGTGGTGATGGTGATGATGGTGCTGGCCATAATGGTGACGATGGTGGTAGCTTGTAGAAAGTGCCATGTTATCTACCACTCTGGTTTATAAAAGCGTGGTAGGTCGTAGTGCCTCGCTGATAGATTATTAAGTGGAGATGTCAGAAGTGGAAGGAGAGAGAGCCACCCACCCAAACTCACAGCTTCTTTCTTTCCTTTATTCTCGTTTAAACCCGCTGAGTGTATTATTATTATGACATTTACCGCTCGTAGAGTACTATAAGAATGTGGTGTAGGTAGGGTGAAGGAGGAAGGGAGAGGGAGAGGGAAAGGGAGAGGGAAAGGGAGAGGGAGGCGAAGAAACACCAGCGAAGGTTCCAGCCTATGTTTGTTTCGTACATCGATCGGGCCGACGGGTCCATTCCTGCCAGCGCGGGGGAGGCCACATCCCATGTCCCCGCTCACACCATCATGATAGAACATCTCTTTATTTACATCATGTCACCCACCGTCCTGCCTCATTCACGTCTACTCATCTCCCACACACACACACACACACACACACACTCCATTACACACTGCTCAATATTCTTGTTATCTGTCATTATCTACTGAGCGTTTGAGTCAACTAGAGAGATTAATGGAGACTCAGAAGATCAATTTTCTGTGTATCTCAGTGAGAGTAGTGTGGACCGCCATGACTCCACCTCCATCTTCCACTCTACCTTATGACTATCTTCCTCCTCCTCCCAGCTAGCCAACACCCTGGTCCATGTGTACACCGCCACACTCTACACCTTCTACCACAACACCACCTCACCTACACCCTACACAACACCATCATCACACTATCACAACACCATCATCACACCCTACCACACTATCACAACACCATCATCACACCCTACCACACTATCACAACACCATCATCACTCTACCACACTATCACA